TCGGTAAATTTATGAATAATATTTTTTAAACAATTCGGATTAAAAATACTAAGCAATTCAGATACAATTCAGACATTCTGATCGGCATCGATTGGCCTGCTAATCAGAACTTTGCCTAAATTAATAAATCGGCCATCTTTATCACCAAATTCAGCCTAAAATCAGACATCTGATTTCTAGCCGATTTGGACTATTTCGACCAGTGTTGTGATAATACATGTAAATAAAACAAACTGGTTTGATATGTATCTTAATCTTCTTGTCATTATTGATAATAATACCAAAACTCGATTAGTTTGTCAGGGATTATTATCTGAAGATGAAACAAATGGCAGTTATCAATAGTTTTTTCAATTTTTAGAGATGCTATTAGTGATTTAGCTTCTCAAGTACTATTTTCAGAGTTTGAACCAGCTTTAATCAACGCTATTTCTATTATACTTTCTGAGACTAAGCATTTTTATGTATATTTTATATTCAGCAAAATATACATAAAAAATTGAAACAAAAATTAGGATCTAAATATGAAGTTTTTTTTAAAAACTTTTATAAATCACGAAACAGTTTGAATGAATTAGATTTTGAACGCCATTGGGCAAGAATGATTGAGCAATTTCCCTAAGCAAATAATTATTTGCAAAATACTTTATATCCTATTCATCATACTTGAGTTTTGTAGTATCAGAGCATTTGGTTTACTGCTGATATACAATTAAGTCAAAGAATTGAAATACTTAATGCATTATTTAAAACAGGTGTAAGTCATACATCTTCTTTATATAAACTTTATAAAGAATGTCAAAGGCTATTTAATAATTAATCACAATATACACAACTTAATGAATACCAAAATAATATACCATCTGAGGATTACTGATAGCTTCACAAGTTCTATTTCCTGAAATAGATTTACTATTAGTTGATTTTGTTACATCACATATACTATCACTGCAAAGATAGCAAATAAATGAATCTTTATTTTATCATACTATTTGTTTAGATATAACTGATTTTGATAAAATTCAAGTAAGGTTTGATTCTACATATCTCAATTTTATATGTTTATTTAATTAACATTTTTATTATTTATGGTTGAAACATAGTTGAATAATAATGTTCCTAATAATAATTTTATTAAAGATCTTAATGATTATCTCTGAATTTCATTTTCAAGTTTATTAAAAAATATTGACTACAATGATATTAAAGAAATATGGCAGATTAAAGGAATCATTATTCCTATATATAAAACTGAAATTGGTTAATTTTGACCTCCAAAATGGTCAAAATGGTCAAAATGATTTCGACTTGAGCCCCTTCAAAAGTCAAAATGGTCAAAATGGTCAAAATGATTTCAACTTGAGCCCCTCCAAAAGTCAAAATGGTCGAAATTATGTCATAGTCATATGATTTTATAATAAACAATAATATTAAAATTCAAAGTTAACGAACTCCGCATCCAGTGATTCGATTTTTATGATCTTTACACAGTTGGATTCAGCTCATTGAGCGGATTCCAATGATATGTATTTCATATTTGTAGCATCAATATTGACGGAGTTATTCACGTTTAAAATTTGGTATTATAATTTTTATAGTAAACAATAATTTTAAAATTCAAAGTTAACGATCTCCACATCCAGTGATTCGATTTTTATGATCTTTACACGGTTGGATTTAGCTCATCGAGAGAATTCCAATGATATGTATTTCATATTTGTTTTGTAGCATTAATATTAGTTGACGGAGTTACCATATATAGCAGGCTACAGTACCCTGGGTATACTTGTAGCCGAAATCCCCCTAGTTTCAGCCTAATTTCGGTTTCGGGTTTCAGACAGTTATGGTATTCAAAAACTGCTTTCTGAAATCGAAACCCCTGGCCGAAATCCGAAACTATGTCCGAAACCTATTATAAGTCTGAAACCTAAAAATGGAAATATTAATGATTAATCATAAATTATCAATCTAGATCTACATCAAAAATTTTCTCACGAAACATTTCTTCTGTGTATTTTGTCTTCGTACTTTAAAGTTTAACACTTTAACCCACATACTTTCTTTATTTTACATTCTTTTTTTTACCTTTACTCATTACTCGTCTTTTTCAATTTTCAGTTTTCCACCTTATTCTTTTATAATAAAAGCTATAAGTTTATAATAAAGCTCTGAACGGGTCAGTTTGGTCTGGATTATAGACAGTTCAGATTAGAGCCGAAATCCGTAAGAACCGAACCGAAAAACTGGCGGTTCAGTTCAGTTTAATCTGATTTTTATAAAAATGTGAAAAATCGAATAGCTGGCCATCTAGTGATCGTATAAAGTCGGGCCATATATCATTGGATTCGTCTCGACGAGACGCGTCGAATGGTGGTAAGATCATGTCTCTAGCATCGATAGACCACACGTTAACCCACGCTAAATGATTTATCGATAATTGGAATTAGCAAGCTATCTATCGTGCTAGAGACATGATCTTAGCACCATTCGACGCGTCTCAGTGAGACGAATCCAATGAATATAAATTCGTTCGTATACGACCACTAGATAGCGAATAATATCAAGTTTCGCATTTTTTTAAAATTTTTAAGCGTTAAAAATTAAAAATTCCAATACATGAATTTATTCGTCGTCCAATAGTTGTACAAATATGAATTAGGACTCAATGGATTCGTCTCGATGAGACGAGTCGAATGGTGGTGAGATCATGTCTCTAGCATTAATAGATCGTAAGTTAATTCACGCTAAATAATTTATAAAAAATTGGCATTAGCAAGCTATCTATCAATGCTAGAGACGTGATCTTACCACCATTC